TGGCTTGTTTTACAACGTCGTTGCCAAGCGACGAAAACCCAATCCCGATGGCAAACACCGGGGGGGGGCGGCTTGTTTCACAACGTCGTTGCCAAGCGACGAAAACCCAACCCCGATGGCAAACACCGGGGGTGGGCGGGGGGGGGGTGTACTCATAGTCGTGCATGCCGTAGTCATTAGACCATTGACCTCGCATCCCTACACAGCCGGGACGGAGCACGCCGGGTTCTCACCGGACCAGGCTCTCACATCACCAAGCGCGAAGCGCCGTGAGGTGTTCGGCGAGTCGCGTGAAGGGTGCGGTGCATCCTGCTAAGGGTGTTCGGCATCTTGTGCTTACTTCCTTGCGTACGGATGACATCTATCTGCGTGTGACTTAATATATTTTCTGGTGTTTTCACTTCCAGAGACAGTTAAAAGCACTGTGTAACTGCCTCGAGGATGCTTGAGCGATTTACCCCAACGTTGTGCGATCATCCCCCTTGCGCAGAGTGAGGGTTCTCCACCCCGCACAACATGATCCACTCGACCACATTGTGGTTGCCGCAAAAACAAATAAGAGGAAAAGAAAAACAAACGGTTAGTCCATTTGTTACGATGTCTTTTTTTAGGCTGTATATTTAAAAAAAAATGACAACTGGCCACATAGCCCGGTGTTACAACGTCTTTTCTCGCTAAAATATGAAAACGAACCTTATTTGACAGCCTAGAACACGAGGCTATTTGGCCAGTTGTCATTTTTTGAAAAAAGACAGCCTACAAAAAGCCTTAAAATAGACATCGGAACAATTGGCCTTACCATTTTTTTTTTTCTACCACTCGTTGGGAACGAGGCGGCGGGGCGTGTTAACCTTCTGATCTAGAATGTTGGAAGCTTCTCTTTGGCAATAGTAGGAGGCAGCCAGTCAGTGTTGTCATTGCCCGTGTGGTTTGAATAAATAGTGACCCGCACTCAACTCGTGATGTTTTTCCGCTCAAGAAATAAATCCAATCTATCCGATGGGCCAGCTCACCAGCAGCAGCAAAAACTGTCCGACACTCGGTAGCCAGAACACAAGAGCAATGCACATCATGCTATACGTATATACACAGCAGTCCAAAGGGTTGCGAGATAGGACGCAAGTGACGATAAACACACAAGGCTACCCCCAGTAGATGGCGATCTTGCTGCAGTCGGGACAGCTGACAACGCGGCACAATATGCTACATATACGGTGTATTTCAATAACACGGTCGTTGTCTCTGATTCATTTCCTCCGCTCACATCACGAGAAAAAATGAAGAAATCATTCAATAGACTATGTATATATATATTTCGTCCTTTCCATCTACACTGTATTGCTTGTCCGCCCACCTTTCTTGGCGAAGGAACGTCGAAGTCCCCTGACATGCCAGTAAAATGATTTCGTCCTGTTAGGCTTCTCGGCCTGCAGCCTCTTGGTCACCTGTGAGGTAATGGCCCTCAGAATGTCATCGTCATTCTCCCCCACCTGAATTTCAACGAGTATCCCACAGCAACGAGCAGTAGCAGCGGCAGTATTTAGCAGCAGCAGCAGCAGCAGGAAGAAGATGTGGGAAACATTCAAACACGATGTCACGCGGTATGCTGCTGTTGTGGTATTCAAACTCAGCGGTACGCTGCTGAACGGACGGACGGACGATTAGGATTTACCCGTCTTCATCTGGGCCAAGTATTTTACAAGACACGGTATGCAGGGAGGACCCAGTTCTTCATAAGGAAGTACCATATTTCGTAACAACCATTTTTCCTTCAAACCCGGCAAGCAGCAAACAGAGAGAGGAAGGGTGGCGCAGACCGAGCGAGCCGTGATGGCCAATGAGACTGTTGTTTGCTTAGGGGTCTTCGGGGTCTACATACAATCCGCTGTAGTCTATGTATGGTACACGACATGTATGTATAGACTACTGCTGCCGTGCACAATACGTCAGGAACGAAGAAATAATTCACACACCAACGCTGAGGTACTTGCACCTGCTCTTTCGACATGCGCGTGTCGTATACGGTAGGTACGTTGAGACGCCGCTCTCACCGTCGACTGGGTCTCGCGGTAGACACATCCCGCAGCGATGCAGGATCCCCCCATCCTGCTCGCCAGGAGCATAGTCGACGACGGTGGGCACCTGCCCTCCCACTCGGCGCGCGGGCACGACGGGTCCTCGCGCAGGGCGGACTGCTGGCGGAGGGCCTCGCTCGCCGGGCTGAGGTCAAAGCGGTTTTCTGACGCTTGGGGATTGAACCCAAGGCTTGGGCATCCGACCAGGTCACGGCTGTAAACGTGACATATGGACGGGACACCCGCAGGACACAACAAGCAGAGGACATTTCGCAACGGACAACGTTGGTGCTGACAATCCCACTCCGAAGGAAGTACTGCTGGTGCTGCTGGTGCTGTGTAAGCTTGTCCTGCTTTATTCTATCAACGAGGGAATGCTTGCAATGCACACGAAAAAATAATTGGTTGACCCGTCCGTTCATTTCACGAATAAATGACTTGGAGCGAGCTCAACACTCACCACGCAACGGGTAGCTGGTACTTCCCGTCGTGCCCCTTGGACCCTACGGAACCCTCCAACAAGAGCGCCGCGCAACACCCTCCCTGCTGGGGTGTGTCCGCCTTCTTCCCCCATGCTCCTGTCACGAGGAAAAGAAGGGCAGCGTGCAGCAGCAGAGCCCGCGCCCACATGGCTTCCCGCTGCTGGGCGCCGCCGCTGCGAGCACATCATGACCGATGGCAAGCAACGCCTAGTGTCAACGTGTTGTAAAATCTACGGGTTGATTTGATTCTTCTGACTCGGAAAACAAAGCCGGGTCGTCTGTGCCCGCAGGAGGAGACCCGTTCTACAGCGGGGCTGCTGTGCGCACGGCGAATGCAAGCCGGCGGGGGGGGGTTGGGGACGCGTGGATCCCTCGTGGTTGCTGGTCCCAACATGTTGTTCTACTGCTGTTTCTTCTCCGAAGATTTTTGTTTCGGACTTTCTTTTTTCGTCCGTTCCTTCGCATGAAAAAGGATGTGGGGATGTGCCCGTCCGAGTGGGGGGCATGAGCTGTCTTGTCTGCCTGTGGTGCGGCTTTGGCCAGGTAACTAGCCTACTCTCGTTCTTTTGCGCGTGGGCATATCCTATTGCGAGGTGCTGCAAAGCCGCCACGTTGAACAGCACTGTTTGGTTGCCGATCCAATTGCTGGCTGCCACTTAGGGAGCAATAAAAGACTACCTGCTGACAGAGCAGCCGCGTCGCCGCGTCAAGATTTTGTCAATATCCGCAACATGAGATGGCATCCTTGCAAGCTAGTGCACACCCTCCTTGAACCAATCAGCACCGGGGGTAGGCCCACACCTTGCGCGGCTTTTTCTCGGGGCTGGTGCAGCTGCTGCTGCTCTTCTTCTGTCTCTCATGCTCGCTCTCACCTTTGATGTGTTCTGAAGTACTTGGTCGCCTGTACGGTGCGCACACAANGAGAGAGAGAGAGAGAGAGAGAGAGAGAGAGAGAGAGAGAGCCCGCACCCGACTGCATATATGTTGTATGGACTACAGCAGATGGCAGATACATGTGTACAGCAGTAATGCAAGAAGGGCTGCCACTACAGTACATCTTGAGACGGAGAACTCGTGGGGTAGAAGATGCGTTATTACTTACAGTAATTGAAACTATCCACGTCATTACAACTATTTGAACGAATGTTTCGAACGAGATCAAGGCACAGACTCCCGCACACATTGAACATCACTGCTCCGGCACCCACGGACACTAAATGCATGTGCTAAACATTACTTCTAGACGCGGATGTGCGGGGAAGTAAGATCATGCTGTATGTACAACTCAGAGCAAAATGTAGGCCTGAGTACACTACGGGATGTATCCGCTCGGAGAGTAGAACAGAAGTGTCGGATAGGTCGTGTATCGAAAACCCTTTTCCGAAGGACTACCCAATCTGCTCTGCACTCGATTGCTCACCGAGAGTTTGAAAAACGCCACCGGGTGCAGCCAAATCTATCGTAAATCGCTGCTTGCCGTTGGACCATTGTTCTGTGAGAATTGCCTTTGGGTTTCTTCGCGAAGTGATTGTTGTATCCGTTTCGCGAGTCAGACAAACGTTTGACACAGCGGCGCCGGGCTC